AGGACCTAAATAACAAATTACCACAAACAGTATGGCTTAGAACAAAAGAGATTTATTCTTTCAGAGTTCTGGAGGCCAGAAATACAAAATCAAGATATTCTGCAAATTAGCCATGTTGGGGCTGGGGATATAGCTCAGTGGTATAAGCACCTGACTGGCAAATACAAGGTTCTGAGTTCAATTCCTGGCACCAAAAAAAAAAAAAAAAAAAACCAAAAACACCAAGTTAGCCATGTTGGTACATACCTATAATCCCAGCATTCTGGGCGGGTAAGGCAGGAGGAAGTTGGAGCCCGGGCTAGGAAACTTAGCAACTTAGTGAGGCCCAGATTTAAAATAAAACATAAAAAGTGCTGAAGATACAGCTCAGTGAGAAGGCCCTGGGTTGATTCCCCACACACACACACACACACACACACACACACACACACACAGCCTTCCTTTTAGCTGCTTCCAGCTTTTGTTGGCATTCCTTGGCTTGTGCATTATAACCCTGGTCGCTATTCTTGTCTTCAGAAGGCCATCTTCCTGGTGTGTACATCTCTATCCAAATTTTCCTCTTGTTAGAATGCAAGTCATTGTATTAGTAACCAGCCTAACCCAATATGACCTCATCTTAAATTGATTATATCTGCAAAGATCCTATTCCCAAATAAGTTCACATTTGTAGCTTCTGGATTTCTGTGTAGACATGAGTTTTGAAGAGATACTACTGAGTTCAGTGCAGAAAAGATGAATATAATGTCAAATATGAGATGATCTCAGATTTTTAAATGTTCGGTTATACTAAGTTTCCTCAGCTGGGGTGCTGTTGACATTTTGGACATGATAATTTGTTGTTGGACTGTTGTGTGTCTCCTGGGAGGTATAGCAGAATTTCTGATGTCTGCCCACTAGATGCTAGTAGCACACCCTATACCCAGAGTGAGGGCCAACAATAAGTTTCCAAATATTGCCAGATATCTTTAGGGGGCACAATTTACACTACTGGAGAGCCCCTTGTGCATGGGTATGCAGTGGCATTTTCTCAGAATTACATCCTTTAAAAGAATCTAGTTCTTGGGTTAATATGTTATGTCTTCCAGCTGATTGTGTACAAGTCACAAATGATATTATAAATATCAGGGTAACCCCTATTTTTACAGCATTAATGCATGTGCTCAATTCCTAGAGAAGATTTTCTGGAGGGCAGGGATGAGGCCTATCTGGTTCACCACAGTGTCCCCAGGACCTAGCACAACTTAATCATTAAAATCATAGCAATATATTGTTAAAGTACGGTTTTCTATAGGTAATATCTCATTCACATAGTAGGTGCTCAGTACATAACAATAGAATGAATACTCTTGGGCAGAACTGAATATGGGTATAAATACTTTATTTCTGTTAAGCTAGAAGAAATAAAATGTTTGCTAAATTAGAGCAGAAACTTCATTCATTCTTTTATTTGAATTGGAGGGTATTTTGGTATCAGTAATGATACCATCACAGGTATAATTAAAAACTATCTTGAAGGCTGTTGTTTACCTGTTCTCCCATCTGAGGGTAATGTGCTGAACCAGACAGTCATAGTCCCTTAGCCTCCTGGAACCAGGCTGTGTCACAGCAAATGCTTAGCTGTCTCAGGACTGTAGGACCTGGGCGCTAACACTAGTTAAAGTATCATTCACTCCTCCAATAGATTCTTCTTTCAAAATGGAACTTCTTTTCTAATAGTAATTCATTTCTCTCTTTTTAGGGCCACTGAAGCCAGAAATAACTGTATCCTACATTGCTGTCGCAACAATATTTTTTAACAGTGGACTATCATTAAAAACGGAGGTACTGTCACGTGTGGGGTACATGAAAAGCATTGTGGGAAATTTAATTTGTACTTACTGTTTTTAAATTTCAGTGTCCTTTTGTGAAGGCATTTATAGCTGTAGTCTGAAGGATTCACTCTGACAGAAGGAAACTTGGAACATAGAAAAGGATTTAAGCTTTCTTTCTATGTATCGTAGAAACTTTGTAGTTGAGCAGCATGGATCCTGAGGATGGGATTAGAATGTTTTTCCTGAATAATCCTTTTAATGAATAAAGTGGTATGATTAATATCCCTGTAAAGAGCTATAATCAGTAAAGTAAGACTACAGTGAGATAATGGACTTCATTCACTAAGTTGGAAAAGTTAGAATGTCAAATGACACCAAAAATTTAAAACTCTATCTTTTAAAATTAAATTTATTTTTAAACTAATACGTAAAAGTGGGACAATCATAAGAATGAGTATGTTTTAAGTATGGCTGTGTACTGCGGAACCTACTTCACATCTTCCTCAAATTATGATAGTAACTGCAGTGGTTCCTCATGTGGTGGGGCTCATTTAAGTTGTAATGATTTAGCTTAATTTTGTGGAGTATCTTTTGCTGTATGTCCAGGACTAATGATCAAGTAATGCTTATTATGTCCTAATGTTTAAATAATTTTTATTTTTTTTAAACATATTCTTCCATATTAATAATTGTTTTAAGAGAAATATTGGTATTTTTCATACCAAACCACAGTCTTTTTTTTTTTGTTTTGTTTTTGTTTTTGTTTTTGTTTTTTTCTGGTACCGGGAATCGAACTCATGACCTTGTGCTTGCCAGGCAGATGCTGTGCCACTGAGCTAAATCCCCAGCCCCACAGTCTTGCATACATACTGGAAATATTATTTACTGATGCAGGCTTTACTGAACACAAGATTCTCTTAAAAGTAAAAAAAAAAAAAAAAAAAAACCAAGAAGCAAACCTAAGTACTTTTTTACATTTGAAAGAAAAATGAGTAGGATTTATGATTCTCTTTTCACTTATAATAGAAGGAAAAAAAAGAGGAGAAAATTCCTATTTTTTTAAAAGTATATAAAGTTATTCTGATGTGCTTGCTTTTATTTGCCATAAAATAGATTGTTTAAAATGATTTTATAAGTTAAATTCTGGTTTGGCATTATATTTTGCATTTAAAAATTTTTACATTTATTTGGAATGAAGACTGAATTTAATTGCCTTCCTTTCAGATCTTCCTATTAACAACACTGGAAAATTCTATTAGTTTCGTATAAATCTTTTATGTATGTATAAAATCAGTGTGTATTGTTTAAGCTGATAGATTGTATCTTAAGAATTCTAAATGTTTTCACTTATTAGTTGCTGTTCTGAAAATATTTGACCTGGGATGGGATTTCCCCAGTATCTCAAATTCCAGTTTTTGTAACATTATTGATATGAAGGAACTGTTACTGTAAAGGGTATATTTTCTGTAATGCCGAGTTCTAACACCGGCTCTCAAGTGTGAGGCACACGGATACAGAAAGATACTTGCCACTGCTGTGTGCTGGAGGGATGTGACTTGGAGAACTTCCTGCTTGGATGGGCAGCTGCCCATCCAAGTCCTTTCCTTGCTCTAACTGTGTCCCCTGGTGGCTTCTTGGTGGCTATAGCTGCTACTTGTGCCGAGAGCACTCAGCCAGGGACCTGATGTTTCTCACTCCTTAGGCTCTTACTTAATGCCCTTCTGAAAAGCAGCCAACTTTGTGGGATCCGAGAGTTGAAGAAGGAAGAATGTCACAGCTATCAGCATTTCTCTGAGGATCAGTTTCTGTAAAGCACCTAGGAAACCTGCAGTCATCCAGCTAATTTGGATCTAATGTTGAAATGCCTTGACCCTATGCTTTTGTGGTATCTAAGTAGCCATCAAAGCCATTTCCTCCGTCAGAGACACTTTTCAAACCAATTCTCATTAAGTCATTTTCAAAAGCCATTTAACTTAAGATGTGCTAGATTGGAGCATTGTGTAATATTACATCATCTCTAAGCCCTGTTATTTTCCTGAGCAGCCAAAAAATTGTCATTAGGAGGTAGCAGTCCTATTGTTTATTTTCTAGTTAATTCTAAGTTAATTTCCGCTAGGACTACTATTTGTGTATCTTACTAGATCCTAGGATACTGCATTTTTGCACATAGTAGACACTCAGTAAATTACTGAGTTGAATTTACTTGGAAGTACTTATTTTGATCCCACTCAAGTTTTATTTATATTGAACATTTCATGTAGTATTACTCATGCATTGATTCAGATATATACATATATATAGATATATCTCTATATATCTCTATGTAGTCAAATTTATGTTATTAATTTATTCAAATTATAAAGGATATTGTCTTAATGAAATGCTAAACCTTTAGTTTTATGACTGTTGATTTCTAGTTTTTTAAATTTTAGTTTAGTTTAGAGAAAGAAAAAAATAACAATAAAAGTTTCAAAACAGGGTAGAAATATTGCCCAAACAATATTAGCACAAACCTTTCTTTTCAATAAACTAAGAGAAACTAGCTGTATAACTATATTAACTGTCTTGTATATATACATTTTTTTTTTCCTTTTCCTTTCTTTCCTTCCTGCTTTCCCCCATTCCAGTTTCTCTTTCCTTTTGAAGAGTTTCTTCTAAATTTACAATATCTATTGTACATTTTGGATCTTATTTACTCATTCACTTTCTCTCACTAGTGAGACAATACGATGTTTACACATGCGGGGCTGATTTATTTCAGTTATGAATATGCTCTCGAGTTGCATCCATTTACCTATAAAACTCTCAAATTTGTCCTTCTTTATGGCTGAGTAGTACTCCATTACAAAAAAACACATCTTTTTTATCCATTCCTTGATTGATGGGCATTTGGATTCTTTCCAAGATCTAGTCATTACAAATTGCACTGCTATAAACATGAGTGCACATATATCACTGTGGTTTGATGTTTTTAATTCTTCTGGGAAGATACCCGGAAGGGAAATAGCTGAGTTGAGTGGGACCTGTAATCCTAGTTTTTTGAGGAATCTCCAGACTGATTTCCATAGTGGTTGCACCAGTCTATACCCCCACCAACAGTGAAAAAGGGTTCCCTTTTCCCCACACCCCTGCCAGCATTTGTTATTGGTTGATTTCTTGCTAATAGCCATTCTTTCTGGGGGTGAGTTGGAATCTCAGTGTTGTTTTAATTTGCATGTCTGTCTCCCTTTTCTTTGGTACTGGTACTCAAACTGAGGACCTCATGCTTGCCAGTGATGTTGAACATTTTTTCATGTGTTTATTTGCCATTTGTATTTCTTTATCTGAGAAGTGTGTATTAATCTCAGATGCCCACTTTTGGAATGAATCTTTGACTTTGGGGACCTGATTCTTTTCAGTTCTTTATGTATTCTATATATAAGCCCTTTGTCTGTGGGACAACTGGCTATAATTTTTTCCCATTCTGTAGGTTGTCTTTTCACTCTATTGGTAATTTCTTTTGTTGTGCAAAAGCTTTTTAATAAGGTGAGATCACATTTGTTTGATTCTTTGGAGTATTTCCTGTGCGGTTTGGATTTTGTTTGTGAAGTCTCTGCCTACACCAATGTCTTCAAGATTCCTGCCTATTTTCTCTTCCAGTGAATTTAGTGTTTCTGTTTTAATATTTAGATCTTTGATCCATTTTGACTTTAGTTTAGGGCATGGTGAGAGATGTGGGTCTAGTTTTAGTCTTTGGTATGTAGATAGCCAGTTTTTCCAGCAACATTTATTAAAGAGACTGTCTTTCTTCCAGTGCACATGTTTGGCCCCTTTGTCAAATATTAGGTGGTTGAGTGTGTATGGAGTTGCTTCTCCATCTTCTGTTCTGTTCCACTGAACCTCAAATCTGTTTTTTTTCTAATCCATGCTGATTTTATGATGGTAGCTTTATAGTATAGTTTCAGGCCAGGGATTGTGATGCCCCTGATTTGTCTTTGTTGCCCACCATTGTTTTTGCTATTCTGTCTCTTCTCTTCCCAAATGAATTTTAGGAATGTTTTCTCTAGTTTTGTGCGGTATGTTAATGATATTTTGATCAGGATTGCATTACAGCTGTATAACAATTTTGGGAGTGTGGCCATTTTCACTATGTTGGTTCTTCCTATCCATGAGCAAGGAATATCTTTCCATTTTCTGCTATCCTCTTCAATTTCCTTTTTCCAGAGTACTGTAATTTTCACTGTATAGATCTTTTACTTCCTTTGTTAGATTGATTCCCAAGTATTTCATTTTTGGGGATGCTATTGTAAATGGTATTGTTTCTTTGATTTCTCTGTGTGAGTTTGTTGCTTGTGTACAGGAATACTATTGATTTTTGAGGGTTGACTTTGTATCCAGCTACACTGCTGAATTTGGTGTTTAAGTCTACAAGTCTTTCAATGGAGTTTCTGGGGCCTTCTATGTAGAATATCGTGTCATCTGCAAATAATGATATTTTGACTTCCTCCTTTCGTATCCTTATTCCTTTTATTCCTCTCTATTGCCTAATTGTTGTGGCTAATGTTTCCAGAACTGTATTGAATAGGAGTGGTGACAGTGGACATCCTTTTCTTCTTCCTGATTTTAGAGTAAAGGCTTTCAGTCTTTGTCCATAAAGTATAATGTTGGCTGTTGGTTTACCATAGATGGCGTTTATCAAATTGAAGTGAAGACCATCTATTCAGGTTTTCTGTAGGGTTTTTATCATGAATGAGTGTTAGACTTTGTCGAAAGCTTTTTCTACACCTATTGAGATGATCATGTGATTTTTTTTGTCTTTAATTCTGTTAGTATGATGTATTACATGTATTGATTTGTGTATGTTGAACCATCCCTGCATCTCTGCTATGACTGCTCCTTGGTCATGGTATATGTTCTTGATGATTTGCTGTATTCTATTTGCTAGTATCTTATTGAGGACTTTTGCACTATGTTCATTAGAGAGATTGGCCTGTAGTTTTCTTTTTTGGTTGGGTTTTCTGGTTTTATCAG